GACAATATATAGGTATGTGTGGGTAGGCTACAAAGGGTTTGTGTATGGGGAAAGGGGGGCAGTGTATGGGGAAGGAAGGACAGCAATAAGAAGGGGAAGCGGGGGTTAGGGGTGGGGCCAATCTCTGGGTACCTAAACCAGATTGTCTTACATTAAAGTCAACGGTCTGACGATTGCAGCAGACAGAGGAACACAACTTCAATCAATTTTGCACTTGCACTCATCAGATATCGATTGGTACGAGATGTAGGTTTACCATATGCTTAGATTACGGGGTTGGAATGGGGTGCTTTTGCATTTTTTGGTTCTTTTTTCGGAATCTTTTTCTGTGGCGCAGATTCGTTTTTTGAAATTGTCGTCAATCTGAAATTGCGCAGTAGCTGAAATTTTTGGTTCTTTTTTCTTGACGTTCAAAAATTCGCTGCTTGACAAATCCATTTTTTTTTTTGTTTTGGAATTCTTTTTTCACGTTAATTCGTTTTTTTATTAATTTTGAATCATGCATTAATTAGTAGCTGAAAATTTTGATTTGTAGTATTTTCTTGGAACTCTAATTTTTCCATTGCTATAATATTTCGAAGTTTTCCTTTTTCTCACAAAATCTCTCTTTGCAGTTGAGTTTTGGGATTCTTTATCCTGAAATTGAAATTTGTGCGCATACTCTCATCTGCATTATTTCGAATTTTTTTTCTTTCTAAATTCGGAATTCCTTGAACTTGCTTTTTTCTTTCCTTTTTTTGCAGTTCAATTATTCTTTTATCCGTTTCTGTGATTATGTGTAGTCTGAAATTCGTATATTTTAATTCTTTCAATTTCGGGATTTTTGGGGATTGGGAGACCTACCGAACTTGCCATTCTTTTATTTATCCTTATTGGGGCGATCAGTGGAAATGCTAGTACATCACATCTCCTCCTTTCCCCTCTCCCACCCACCCCATCTACGCTGCTATCTCTCTTTTCTACACCTCTCTCCTCCCACCTGTCTTCTGCTTCAGATTGCTGCAGCATTGGTGAGTTGCCACGTCAGTAGGGACACTTCAGCCCACAGTCGTGCCACGTCAGCAGCCGATCAACAGGGACAGGTCAGCTGAGAACCGTGCCAGTTGAGCAGCCGATCAGTACCACGCCAGCAACAGTTAGTGCCACGTCATCAGTTTCGCGGCATATGCCCGTGCTCACCCGATCACAAACAGGCGACATGGAGCAGAAGCAAGGGGAAACGACTAAGGCCTACGAGGCCTTGATGCTGACCTTGATGGCAAAAATCAAGCAGCAGGCAGACATGGTGACAGCTGCACGAAAGAAAGAAGAGGAGGCAGAGAAACATCGTCGTTTTGTGGAGGAACGTAGGAAGCAAGCCGAAGCAGCAGCGAAGGTTGCCAATGAGGAACGTATATATGGACGCGACAATATATTTAAGGAGGAAAGCGCACTTGCGCTGGCTGCGGAATGGTGGACGGAGGTAGAAGGCGGGGAAATCAGCAACAGCGAGATCAAACTCTTACTTTGCTTTCCCGCTTCACGGACTTTGGGCTACCTGCATTGCACACCAGGAGGACATCCACTGCCTCGACCACACGGTCCAAGATTACAAGCAGACATGCACACAATTGACCAGCCGCATATAGCTGCTGGAACAACGACCCACTGCCCCTTCAACCTCGCCCTTCACGTCAACGTCTTGGAGGTTGCCGTAGGTACGCTCAAGGACGGTACTGTAGAGCGCATCGGTCGTGCAGAGGGACCCTCCAGGTTGCGTCACGTAGTATTTTGCAGCACTTCGTCGCAGAGCGTTGCCGCTTCGGTCGAGTGCGCCATCCATATCTTTTGTGAACCCCTACGACAGGATAGGATCGTCGTTTGAGGCGTTGATCTCTTCGGCACGACCCTATGTCGGACGGTAAAATCTAACCACGTGATACATCTCACAAAAAATAAAAATCAGACTCTCGTATGTAAATCGCGCCTAGTCCCTTTTTCACGCCCAACCCATAATTTTTACTAGGCGGAATATACGAATATCGTGCGCGAGTTTAATAAAATATTGCGGCGGTACAGGTCTTAGTCATATCGACTAGCCATGCATGAATACGCAAGCAGTCACAGCGATGAAGAACTATGTAGTACCCATAATCATGTGGACCTCAGTGATCTTGAGGGTCACTTTTGACACTCGTTTTGAGGGGTTAATCTCTCGACGTTAGACAATCGCTAAGGCGGTTGAGAACCACACCCTCTTCTGCACCTTGCATAGAGTGGGTGGTATACAGGCTCCGACCTGTTGTGGCAGTTTACCCTTATGGCCATGGAGACGAGCTCCAGTATTGGAGGTCTTGAAACAGGTCAAGGGATTTGACTTTGACGGCTGCCATGGATGTCAACGTTCAACTATAAAAAAAAATATCAAAAAAAGCAAAGCCAAACAAGGGATCTCTCTTTTCTCTTAAGCCAAATCCGCTCGATCCTTACACATGGTCACAGTGGATCGCGCGGATACTCATAATATATACATATAAAGGGTTAAGAGATACGAGACGATCACTTTTCACAATCACAATGTAGCTTTCTTTAAAGATATATATTATATATGGTTCAGCCTCCTGATGAGTCGGTGAAACTCCGACGAAACAGTTTGTCACAGCCCCTCGTTTGTTGTCCTCTTCTCTCTCTCTGCCTACGGTTTACCGGGCAGTTCTGTTTGTGACGATATATACTACGACTTCGTTAGCTTCCTGCTACGCGAGGGCAGACTGCCAAACTCTCAAGAGTCCTAAAAATATAATAACTCCATCAGATTTTGGGAGATTTCGGCAACGCTTCTCGTAGGAAAAGTGCCTCTGCAAAATTTATATGAGACTAGATATGAAATATGAAAACGATTTTTAATTCTTACAAAGTTATATTTTGTCTAACTGTTTGAATTAGTAAAAGTTTGGGCAACATGTCCTTTAGAGAAGTAGGCTCCCCAGATTCATACCAGGTCGGATTTGAACTCAAAATAAATTTGAATTCTGGTAGGATAAAATTTAACTAACTCCTTAGATTTGTAGAAGTTTCAGCAGCGCTTCCCATAGGAAAAGTGTCTTTCCAAAATTTATATAAAGTTAAATACGAAACCTAAACAGTAATTTGACTTCACAAAGCGAAATTCTGTCGAACTCTCTGAATTGGGAAAATTTTAAGCAACATCTCCCTTAGAGAAGTAGGCTGCTCAAATTTATACCAAGTCATATATAAACTTAGATTTGTAAAAAGAGAAAGATTTGACTAACTCCTTAGATTTGTAAAACATTGGGCAGCGCTTCCCGTAGGAGAAGTGTCATTCGAAGATTTACACAAAGCCTGATATGAGAAAATAAAAGTTTATCCCAGAAAATGCTGAAATTTGAACTAAGTAAAAATAAATTTAACTCAGAAAATGAAAGAATTGAACTAACTCCTACAACTCCAGCACATGGCGAGCACCTAAACAAGTACCTATCAAAGTCACGACTCGTAACAAGTTGAGCTCACACTCGACCACATGCAAGTCCATACTACAACGAGTAAGTACTCTCACAAAAATCCTAAGTTATTTCCATCGTAAATAGTTTATCATCTTTCAGTTAGATAAACCACAATACCCTAACTGACATATGGCATAAGAAAGCTAAGCCAAACCGAAGCCACAAACCTTTGCCTTCGTACACACAAAATAGAGGGCACAACTAGTCTCTTCATTGGGCAATTAACTAGGCCAAAGCGAAGCCAGATTGTGTAGTTCTGCCAAGTGTTTAATATCCAAGTTTATAATAGCGCTTTGAACTCTTTGATCTTTTGAAGAATAAGACTGAGCCAAAATGAAGCTACGTTGGTAAGTCTGCCTTAAAATACCTTCGTTATATTTTTAGTTAAGTATTCTTTTTCCTTTTTGTGATAGGCTGTAGTCAGACCAAACCAAAGCCACATTGTTTGAGTAGTTTCCCTGCACTTACTAAAATCGCTAATGTGAGACTTCTGGCATCCGGGCCGTCCGTGGACCGACCGGCCCGTCGACCCGGATTGCCCCGCGATCTTAAGATTTTAAGATCGCACCGCGATCTAGGTCGTTCGCGGTCTTACCGGCCCTACCGGCCTGCGATCTTAAGATTTTAAGATTGCACTGCGATCCAGGTCGTTCGCAGTTCTACCGATGTTAAAACTTTAAGACTGCGGGGGCAATCGAGGCTGTAGGTTCAGTACCAGTTGGCCAACGGTCGAGAAGTTTGCAGCCCAATTGAAGTTAGGGCTGCGAGGACCGAAGTGAAGGTTGCGGACGCGGGGAGAAACCGGTCCCACCTTACGGCTGTAGGTGTGGGGAGAAACCGGTTCCAGTTGGGGCGGTCTCCTCTTGGGCTTAGAGGTTCGGCCAACCCGCATATCTTTGGCGGTGCACATCACACATTCACACGAACGCCCGCCTGTCCCCTCGAACAAGCGCATGCACACACACTGCACGCACATGCACGCACACGCACACAAGCACAAGCACCAACACATGCATGCATGCAAATGCATCACAGGTAGACTGTCGGGGTTCAACCTCCTGCTGAGTGGGTGAAAGTCCAATGAAACAGTCTGCCGCTCGCACAAGAGAGAGAGAGAGAGAGAGAGAGAGAGAGAGAGAGAGAGAGAGAGCAAGGACCCTACCATGACGACGTTGACTGGTGAAAACAAGGTTGACACCAACTGTGTGGGTGGGTGCGCACGTGCGCGCGCGCGCGCGCGAGAGAGAGAGAGAGAGAGAGAGAGAGAGAGAGAGAGAGAGAGAGAGAGAGAGAGAGAGAGAGCCCGAGGACCCTACCATGATGACTTTGACTGATGAAAAGGCGGTTGAAGACGCTGATGCAGATGAAAGATAAGGAGTAAGGAGCACTATTTGCAAGGACAAGGGGAGATGATAATGGCGTGGGGAAAGGGGGCCGATGAAACATGTTATGGTGGTTTTTTTTTTTGTTTTTTATTCGCTATGATCCCAAAAGGGAGATGAAGCGGCATGAAGGGGAGGACAAGAAAGAGGCAGAGGAACACGAGGAGGAGAAAAAGGAATGTGAAAGCCTAAGAGGGAGGAAGCGTAGAGAGGCAGAAAGAGATGGAGCTGGAGGAGGAGAAGAGGGAGGAGGAGGACAAAGGAGAAGTACGAGAAGAGGGGAAAGTACAAAGGAGGGAAAGGAGGGAAAATTTAGAAGAGGAAAAGTTAGGAGAAAGGGTTGCGGGGGGAAAGCTAGGTGTAAGTCGCCAAAAGGGGGTTGGAGGTTCAAGGTGCGAAATCGCACTTGTGGTTAGGATACGAGGCGCTAAATCGTGCCTTCAGTTTTCTTTTCATTTTAGTGTGTGTGTGTGTGAGAGAGAGAGAGAGAGAGGCGAAGGGGAAGGGGAGAGGGCAAGGGGGAAGTCCGGGTGGTGTTTGGTGGGTTGGAGGCGCAATTTCGGTTCTTGTATCCTTCGTTTTTTAGGTTTGTGTTTGTTTTTTCTGTTTATGTGTTTGTCTGTGTGACTGTGTGTGTGTGTATGTGTGTGTGTGTGAGAGAGAGAGAGAGAGGGAGARGTAGAGAGAGAGAGAGAGAGAGAGAGAGAGAGAGAGAGAGAGAGATGGGTTAA